TATCAACATTGCAAGGTTAAGTGTTGAGTGAGTGCTATGCTGTCGTGATTAAACGTAAACGCAAGGTTAGTAATAAAAGAAGTGGAGATATGAAGAGACTTGATCTTGTGTGTTCTCACTAGAAGAAACCAATTGTACATGAAGATCCTTGCCAACGCAACATACCAAAGATCAACAAATTTTGTAGGGTGAAGTATAGTTAGCATAAACTATGGTATAATTAGACATTATTAAATTTTATTGTACATATAGAAATTAACTCTCAAATATTTATTTTGTGCACAAATAAAATAAAATAAGTTTTTCTTATTAGTATATTACATTTTATACGTTTGTATGTTAATAAAATTGTAGATTATTTTTGATATTTTATTTTATAAAATATTTAGTTTGTATTATTTCTGAAGTAAGTTTGAAATTTAGTATTGTCAAGAATAGGTAATTAGAATAAAATAAGTTATACAGTAAATATAATCTTAGATTTGAAATGAATTTTAAAAAAGTGCAGAGATGAACAATATTGTCAACTTCTAGAATCCAATCATTATATCTTAATATAATACTAGGAAAATATATTTTTAAACCTAAATTATATAAATTATACAATATTTAGACATATATATAGATTATGAAAATTCCCATTAATATACATATATTCTATTCACACAAAAAATATCTTCTTTCCATAAACTTACATCAATAAAAATTCTATGTCATGTGCGACATATTACCTTTTGTATGTTCATCAACCTTAGAAGTTTAGTTTAGTATCTTAGAAAAAGATGAATAAAGAAAAAAAATAATAACCAAAGAACATATTAGCGTATCGGAAAGAAATTCTCTGCTCTCTGGCGCACTCGGTTACTAGCTTGCAGAGTCGGCGATGTAGCTGGTTGCACAATTCTCTCCTCGTTGCCTCGTCCTCTTCCGTTCTGATCTCGCCCTCGAAATTGCTACCTTCTGCTGAATTCTCAGTCTTCGAGGTCGAAGATTTGACTCTAGTACACCTCGTCGAACTGCGCGCTCGATGGCTAGCTTGTCTACCTGCATCGCTTGGAATTTGGCGTGACATTGGTAGCTCTCGAGACGCGCAGAGCTAGGCACAGATCTGATCAGAGCAGATTCAGAATGAGCAGACAAGGAAGGAACACGTGGGAGAGTTGCGTTGCTACTCAGACAACAGCAACTCGCTTTTCTCGGGAATGTTATGTCCTTATGGAATTCGTACCCAGCTGTGCTCGTGCGCCGACGCAGGTGGATGAGCCGGTACGTACATCTCTCGAATGTCGTCTCGTCTCGTCTCCGAGACTCCTGCAGAGTCTCTCGCAGGGTCACAGGCACGAGATCAACCTCGGGACGGAGGACGACAAAAGTCAGATCAAGCGTTTGTTTGACAATGCGTCGAATATCTTGGCTATGAATACAACAAGAAAGGCTGGACAGAAAGTTCGAGTGAACGGAAAAGAGAACCACATGGAATCTAGGATGCAAGTCAATCTTCGGACCCACAGAAAAGTAAAATGCTGCGCCACTTCTCCCGTTGATGCTCTCGGTCAGCCAGACGACAAAAACGTGAAAGGTATTTCGTGCCTCGGGGATCAGACCGAGACTGGATTTGTCGATCGGACAGGGAAGGGCAGCGCAGTGCAGTGCAGTGCGATGACCTTCGCTTTGCAACACTGTGGTCCACAGAAGGAAAGTGTACCAAATCTGTGACTCGCCGAGGGCTGGTGACCATTGGGAGATCGACAAGCGACTTCGTCGTGCTAAGAAGTGCTGCCGGACAGAATCTAGACTCGATGCAATTGAGAAGGAGAAGGAGGAGCAGTCCTGGGTTCCGATCAAACGTGTCCCAAGTGCCTCATGTGCCTCATCTCCTCAATCCGGGGCTACAAGGATCAGAATGACTGAGTCAAAAGCCGCAATTATGTGCACATTGGAGCACATGATATTCCCCGCTAAATCACAAGACTCTGCCTCGAATTTACAGAAAGTAGTAAGGGCCCTATGGGTCTGCTCCCTTTGTCAATTAGATCTTGGACAAGACAACGAGTTCTCCGTGACACAAGTCTTTAATGAGGACTCAATTGGCCGCATGACGTTCTTTCTCAACGCGTTCGTCGTACGCGCATGCATGCCCTCTCTGTACATCCTCATATTCATCTCGCTGTTCCGATAGGTTACCAACTCCTTGAGAGCAGAGAACGCCGCCATTTGTACTTTCACAGCATGAGTTTGAGTGTAAAGCAAACTGGAACTTACTGTCTTCGATATTGAAAACCATGAGACCTGGGAGTCGTCATCTCGAACACTGCTGACCAGTGGTCGAGATCCAAGCGCTGAAGAAAAGATAGATCAGCAAACATGACAGCAGAGACATGTTTCAGCTAAACAGTTTCTTTCCATATTTCTCTCCCTGCCTGACTTTGCAGAGAAAAAACATCTGCATACTTGCTGTCCTTCGACTCGAAAACAAGGGGACCTGGAAATTTTCATCTCTAACTCTGCTGACCAGTATTCGATCTCAAGGAGCGAAATATAACTAAGATAGTACACGTTTAGGCTATACACTTGCTTTCCATACTTCCTTCGTGCAATGAATGAAATCTCTGAAGATGACTCGAGTGATTTTTGCTTTTGTAAAATCTCTACTTACAGTAGACGGGAGATGCGTGAAAAGTTCCTTACTGCTAAGATCCTCTCGGGCTTTTCGAGGAGTATTCTGATATTACATCAGTAACAGAACAAACGTGACTTGTAATAATCATCTTTTCCAATAGAAACCAAATTCTCGTGCTTGTTGTGGTGGTGGGGAACTAGGTGGTGAAAATACTAAATTTAGATTGCCATGGATAATCTAGAAACCTCGTTTGCTGGCATCCAAGGAAAAGCGAACGGCGAAGGAGACAGATTGACAGTACAGGCCCACATACGCAAACCAAATGAAAAACAAAAAGGTAAAGCAGATCCAAAAGGACTGATAGTCAAATCAATCTGACTCATGAGTGGAAGAGAGAAAAGACAGGCTTTCCAACAATTTCAGGATGATAAGGATGCGAAGGGAACAGGTGCTTATCCTAAATGGGCGAGGAAGAAAACGACGTCTGAAGTATGGCCTGACAATACTTTCATGTTGGGTCCTGACTCGAGTAAACAAAGACCCAGAAGAGCCTCCAAAACTTTTCACCTTACCTGCATTGGATTCTTATTCCGCTAAAGACCTCACACCACTTGCAATCAAAAGTGGACCATATCTGTGGGAAACATAATGTGTCTTTGGGAAAAACCAAAACTTGACACCTTCCGCCAGTACATAGCGGAAACAGACACCACAATTGGAGCAGTTTGAGAGGTGACCAGTACCATATATATGATCCGTTACTACTACGTTAATTTTGATGATTGGACTTCACGAGGAAGTGACCGGTAATCAGGATCTTTGGTGATGGATTGTTGTGGCTTTATGAGCATCGAATAACTTTTTCACAACATCTCTAGACTTTGAACGACTATTTTCGATTTCAGACGTCCCTGGACGATACGTGCAGAACACCGCAGGCCAGTTCAGAAGCCATCCAGATCCCATGTCCTCCACAGGCACAATAAACAGACACAAAACTTTGGTTCATGAGGATTAATCTGCCAGGAAGAATCAAGAGTGCAGAATGTTACAGAAGTTGTGGTCTAATTCGAGGTACAGCGTTTTGTTCGTATCTGAAGTTTCAGAAACGGAAGTATATGCGTACAGACAGTAGATGTATATATAGCTTCAAAAATCATATCACACACCATTGACTGTGAAAGATATCCAGTGATAGTTTTCGCCCTTAGAGTAATGTTTTCAACATTACCAATAACAAGTAGGGATCTTTTTGAACCGGTGGTCATACCTTATTTGGTTTCTGTCTTTGTGGTCACGTACCCTTCCAACCAAATCACTTGGTTTTCTTACAATGGTGACAGAGCAAACACATGTCAAGGTCTTGTCCAGATAGTTCAACGATTTTTTCTCTTTCATTTCTGAAGAAAATACTTCAATGGGAAAAAGAATCTTCAAGTGAATTGAATAAATCAACTGAGTCGAGACAACAGTCTAGAACTCACACAAAACAAAAACATGAAGTTCTCGATACCTACAAAACAGACCTAAATATCTGCAATATAAACTAACCCGAAGTGTGATACGAAGTACAAATCATTGTTACAGATGTAATCTTTGACGTCCTTCAATACCAGTACATAGAGGGAATTTAAATCACATCATGAGAAATAAATATCTAATGTCACCGTCTTGGCCGAGCTGGCCTCCCAAAAGGTGTAGGTCTGATGCCGTATCTAGAGCTTTCAATTTAGATAAAATGCTGCGCGGTTATAGCTAACCTGTAGAAGGCTACAGTGAAATCCGGGACCTCTCCCCAAGGTTGAGATCAGGACCCCAGACCCCAGAATGGGAAGGAAAACATCGTTCATCGATGACGAGCACACACGTATCCTGTGACATGAAAAAAGCCACTTTGCTGTTGAAGCTTTGAACCTGGATGAAGCCTACCTCCAGTTAAAAAACCTCTTGGGAGAGATTGTTGTGGTCTACGTATTTATCCACCAATTTTAGGCATCTTTCCTCGAAAGATAGAAAAAGTGGTGAGCCCAACTGTAAACCCTTGGACATTGACATCAAGATTGAACATAACGAACCGACAAACACGAACAACTTTCCATACAGGACAATTTGGTGCCCAGAATCCGTACAGAGGAAAATGTTATGACAAAACCAACTGGAACAACCCGCTCCCAAACCTAAGTATCTGTCTCAAACAGAACTATGAGAGTGTACACATGAAGGAGATAGTGCGTCATGACTAGGAGCCTTCCACGAACAGCATCGCACAGTTCAAGCATTCACACATAAAACCGGACAACTTGATCAGCATCAATTGTCGGAGTTGAGATCGATGAGATCGATGCTGCACGGAGCATCTCACCGCCACCTATGATTCTGATGGTCCAGACTGTACTGAGCACGTCGTGTATTTTATTTTTATGAATTTCAACACTGCACAAAATTTTCTGCTAAGAGAACCGTAGCTTTCTCCTTGACCTTCTAACCTAGATATTCGCTCTCACCTATACACCGTCTTGTGAAGCCACAAGGATAAGCCGCAGGCGTCAGCCAGTATTTCGCCTTTCAGAGTGAAATAAGTTCCAAGTCCCTGGGCTGTTCAAGTTTTCTGCCTCGCCTTCTCAATCAAAGGCTTCAACTGCTTCTTCTCTGCAAGAATTTTCAGAAAATTGAACAAAAAGGGTATATAATTATGCTTTCGTCGAGTATTCTCGGTTTTCCATTTTTTAAACTTCTCCTCTTCCATGGCAATCCGATCACTCACTCCGGCAATCTCAGACTCTATCTCCATAAGGGCGAGCCGGACTTGCTCCAGAGGAGAATTTTGTTTATCGTCCGAATCCACATCCATGACATCGTCGCCTTTCCCTTGCGCTGCCTCTAGCTGTCCATAAAGCTCTGCTCTCTTCGCCTCGAGCTCAGCAAGCTCCTGGTTGTAGATGTCCTTCCTATTTTTGATAACTGCCATCAAGTTGAACCTTATCTCGCTCTTTGAGTATTTCTCTATTCTCTCTTGTATAACTGGCTGCACCATCTTTAACCATTCCATGCTATCCGGACCTCCTTTACCACAAGAACCCAGACTAATAGGACCTTCCTTCAACCCATCGAGCTCGTATAAGACTCCATCAACTGGCAGATAGCTAATGAAGTGATACACATCGTCATCCTTATCTGCTACTTTTTGTTCATCGGCAACGAAAGGTTCAGGCCTGGCAAAGCTGTTATGTGCAGTGCGGATAGCTTCGCTATTATTGATAGCCAAACCCTTCAATTCTGATGGAAACTCTTTCGTGAATTCCTTCAAAATAGAAAGCTCCGGTCCGATGTCAATTTCTGGTCGGTTCATCAAAATCGACAAAATGGCTTGTGTTGCACACGCGTTGTTTATAACCTGCGACCAAGTAAAAACTCTTCCTTTTAGCTAAAAATGACCGTCCTTTGCTCATGTCAGTAAACTTTGAACATAAATAACCAATATATCACCTGCGAGCACATAGGAACTTTTCCTCTTAACTCAAAATGACCGTCCTTGCTCGTGTGAATAAACTTAAATAGAAATAGCCAATCCAAACTACGTCAGAGAAGATGTTGTTTATTTAAACAAATGCAAGTTCTTGATCTTATCACACGTTCATTTCAGTATTCGTAATGCTTGTTATCTGACTGGGGTTTAGAGTCTAAGGATTAGATCCGCATTCATTTCCAGGAGGGAATGTCATCATATTTTCCAGCACTTTATATATCCATTATAATTAAAAAGCATTATACCTGGCTTGCAAAGAATAGGTTGTTGTTAAATTCCTTTTGCACAGGCCGAGTATCCTTCTCTCCTGGTCTCCATTTGAAAAGGAATATCAAACCATACACAGGCCTGTACAAACAAACATTGCATCCGTTAACCATCAATTGCATCGGAAAATTGCACTTTAATCAGGCAAAGAGCTAGGCAGCGTTCAATTTGATTGATCACAGAGCAAGACCATTCATCGCTTTGAAGCATACCTCAGCCGTTCTAATGAGTCCTGGTCCAGACTGTACAACTCTTCCACCTGCAATGTTATAACACGCGTTATACTGGTATCTAGACTCTTAAAGGTGCAAAGCTCAGTCAATTCAAAAGATTATGTACGACACAATGCCAAACGCTTAATTCAAAACGAAAGCTATAATAGAAACCATTCCAAATCTCTTCGACTGCGATATCTTGAATGTCTTCCACATCCTCTAACCGATATTCTATGTATCTTCTCTATAGTTGGTTTGCCAAACGTTTCACGACCAATGACTGTCGATAATAACATGAAAAGCGTTCTCGCACGTACTATCGAATACTTTCTGCATTTCAGCAATGATCAAGACAGTACTGTCGACAGTAAGGAAACTTCAAAGCTCCCACCTTCACGTACCTGGACCCCTTTCACCTGCATTTGTTGTATGAGCTCCGTAAAAACCCCTATTGTTCAGAAATCAAAAACACGGAATGTTAGACTCATCTAGTCTTGATTACATAATAGAAACGAAGATCAACGAAGAAGCATCAACGAGATTCGTGAAAGACCGACAGAACGGTCCTTTTTTCAACACTCTTGTTGACATCTCATATCATTTTCCTTATTGATATTGTATTCTGCTTAATACCATCAAGCCATGTGTGAGATGTACGTCTCCCAAGTTGCCCAACGCATGAACGTAAGGCAACTAGCAAGACTTTATACTCAGGTGACTACTTGATAACTGCCCTATTCTGTAAGAAAATTTATCATGTAGCGTCTATATTCAATGTTCTTTGTGTATGGTTTGGAGAAGCGCCAGTTCCTTGGGACCGCAGTAGATGGTGAACAAATACCATGTTCCTCTGTGCTTAAGTTTAGAGACTCCATCGATTTGAATTGGTGATGGGTACAAGCGATGTTTCGCATAAAAAGTTTTAGTTATAGGGTGGTGTAAGGTATGTTGTACAATACCTTAGGCCTCATTTGATTACACTGTTTTGATTACTAGGTTGTATGCTGTATACACCACACAACTTAGTACTCAAATTGGAGTTTCTTCAGGCCGTGCCATTTCTACATTTCCTACATTGGTTTCCAAACCCAGATAGGTCGAATACTTCTGAAAGTAGAAGGATGCAGCATGAAGAAGCTGTGTAATAAACTCTACTAATGCTTCGTATTTCCTTGTGCATGAGGTTCTTTTCCAAGCTTGCCCAAAAGTAGGCAGATAACTCGTTCTTGACCTGCCCAGGGTTTCTGCTGATGTGTAGAATGTAAGAATTCGAAGTGAATCCTACTACGGAATAATTGGTAAATAAAAAACAAAGATAAAGTGGGAAGGAAACAGGCACCAATAGGGGTAAAAAGAACGATGGCATAACCATCGCTCAGAAAACAAGAAGAGGCCAATAAGGACCAGAAGAACCTCAATGCTGAAACAACAAGATGTAAAGAAATCTATGAGAAAAACAGCCAACTCTGCAGTTGTGCACATATTCAAACAACAGCAACAATATTTGGTATCGGTCCCGCGAGCCAAATCGCGGGACTTCAGTTCAATCTAGAACGATCGCCTGGACAAACCCTACTAATCGTCGGCTCAAGTCATTGCAAACAGTAAGAAAAGCTCACGAGACACACTCAAACCTGCAGATTTCAAAGAGAAGAGTCAGAAAAAGTACCAGGATCCGACTCAATCGTGCACCAAGACATGGCACCTAATCAGTCGATCCGTTGCCCCTCCTTACTCCCGAACAGCTAAACCCTGCAACCCGCAACTCTTCGTCCCAGCGCACCGCAATTTCTCAGAGTCGTCTCGTCGAGGCTGCAACGAAAATCGTCGCGTCGAAGAACGAAGTTCGCACTGTCCAACGAGGAGGCACGATGCAAGGCCAGAACGAAGTTCTATCCCCAGGCACGGAGCTTCGCATGTCGCGGGTATGATCCTACTCACAGAACAAACTGCACAGCGTCACGATAACGCTCGGGCGGGCGGGCATCGGCATGCACTCTCGTCTCTCCCTTCTCCTTCCGTTCGTTCCTTCTTCGTCTGCCCTTCGAGCATTCGCTGAGCCCTCTTTCCTTCTTTCCTTCTTTCAATGCATTCCATGTTCCATTCGCTGCTTTCTCCGATGACTTGCATTTTGCGATGTTAGTTTCTTGGGTGCATAACATGACCATAGATTGTGATTCGGTACTCTTACAAGTCGGCTCGAGGAGAGATTATTCTTATTGCAGCACTTATGTGCATAATTTGAGACGAAGGATTTAATCAGGAGGTATGAATGTTCATGCGGCCATTTCTACGTCTCTTTGCATCTATGGGGGAGATAATGTATTTGGACACGATGAACTTTTTCTCCATTTAAACTCACAAACTACTCTTGGGGCCAAATTGATATCCAGAACTGAATACCCTATCCAACCTAAAAAAATACCAAACAAACAGGAAAACACGTCATGATAATACAAGATCTACCCTAGTAGTTTCCCGATGAAAAATCTTTTCTACTTCACCTACTGTTTCCCAGCAATCTAAATGAAACTATCTACAAGAAACCACAGCATCGTATGATGGTATATACATGTAACATCATCATAACGTGATTTCACTACTATCTGTATCGTTGGTAAGTATTCTCTGTAGAGAAAAACAAATGGATGCCTATAATAAATTACACAATACGATTAGAGAAAATATTAATCCATCATGTTGCCTTTATAATATTTTCTTGGACATTCCCTCATCATATCAAGATAGGCATCCAAAACTTCATATAACTCCATTATTAGGGTTACAAAAGAGTGAAGTCTTTCCATACTACTGTACTTGTATAACTTTGTCGCAATATACGTTGTAGTAACCTTAGTAGATAGAAATTCATGTGCATTGGTAAATACAACAGTCAGAACCTATCATGTAATTAGCATCATATTAATGCCGATAGTGCTTGGAGATCTAGGATTTAAGGGATAAAGTTCATTAAGTCTCCTTGTGCTTTAGTTTCTGAAGTTGACCTTTAAAGAGTGTGACTATGGCTAGAAGTAGCTAGTGCAAAAAGTTTGAGCATATGAAGCACATGGTGGATTTGGCTCAAATTCAATAAGTTGATTATGTTATGCTGACCAGCGCTTTGTCATGATGCAGGTTTTGATCGTAGATAAGGTATTGGTTTATGAGTTGAAGAAGTCTATAATGCATAGGATTGGTAACCATCAAATGTACAAATTTAACTTAGTCCTTTTGAGCAAAATACATATTCATGCTAATCTTTGTCGGTTTCCAACGCACACCAAGGCTTTAGCCTTATGTGAGTTATTTATCGACATTCATAATATCATTGTAGATAGATGCGATGTTAAAGAAAAAAATGGGTCAAAATAAATGTACATTCTTTTTGGTCCAAACGAACATTGCTTCACGTAAATCTTTTCTGAATCGAAACTTTATAACACACGGACATGTAAACAATGAAGATAAAAACAATGCTCGATAAAGCTAAACACATGAGCTGAATTTTGTTAAAAAAACCTGTCCAAGTTTGAATATCAAAAGTTGAAAGTTAAAAAAAGAATTTGCTTTTTCTCCAAAGCTATAAAGTAATAAACATAATTTAAGACAGATGTTTTTAACTTCATTAAATTTATATTTAAATAACCTAAAACTGTAGTTTTATCAATGTAAAGTTGTACACCTCCAATTTAGACTCAAAGAAAACTGAAAATTCATGTTGTAGTAAAAGTGTAAAATATGATTCAAATTACATGACATAAATATTGTCATGTAATTACGTACTTTGATATATTTAACCAAAATTTTAATGTCAGTTTAAAATTAAAGATAACACATATCAAAAGTGTTAACTGACAAAAAATGCTAATTGTATTGGTATTTCTGCACAAAAAATTGAAAAACATATCTCTAGCATATCATACATCTAATAAGCTTATCATTTCTTTGATGGTGTTATTTAGAATGTCCATGATCTTCAGGTCAGAAATTTCATAATATTGATAACAAAACAAAATGAAGTTGTAACTTTGCATAACATGTACATGAATTAACAATCAAGTCTTAAGAAGAGTATACTAAAATCGAAGAAATTAATATGAAACAATCAATTTGCAAAAACACATAGATCAACACTACACAAGTAGAATATATTGAAATCAATCAATCATATAATTATAATACATTAGTAGATAGATAAAAAATGTATATGGAATTTATTTTCATAATTAATTTCCAATAAAGACAGAAATCATTAATTAGTATAATTAAAAGCTACAAATAGTATCATGATATTTGAATATTCAAATTGATACATTTGCTTCTTAAATTTTTACTTATAAACTAAAAATTATTACAGAAACTCTCTAAATGTGTGTAATAAGACGAGACGTGTTGTATTGTTTGTAAAAAACTACTGACAATACAACCCATGTCTTAACGTAAAACCTAAAACCAAGTACGAATCACACGATACACTTATATAACGTGGTTCACCTTCAAGGGCTACGTCCACGGCTGAAACACGCGAGCAGACTTACTGACAAGTGAATACACAATACTTCAGCTCCTCTTTGAAGCTTTGGCTTTGAAGGTATATTTATACCCAAAGCCAGCGACACACATAGCTATAAATAGCTAGAGCCTGAGGTTACTCATTAACCGGAGTTAACCTCAACAATCTCCCTCTTAACTCTTGTTAAGGAAACAGTAACCTCTGAAATCTATATTATTACTCAGCGGGAAGTTCTAGACAGAAACCTAACACAATGCCACTCTTTACACCAGAGCTAACTAGAACTAGACCGTAGCCATAATAGGATAGAGTAATAACATAAAGAGTTAAATAGAGTTATTATGCTAGCAAAGTTTACATGTGCTCCCCATGCACAACTTGCATGGTAGCACATTGTCGCTTGACACTCTCCAATGGAATAACTTTGGTCAAAGCATCAGCTGGATTGAGTTTACCGTCGATCTTGACTAGCTCAATTGTTTTATCAAACACTGCTTGTTTGATAAAATGATACCTGATGTCAATGTGCTTCATTCTGCTACCCATGACCTGATTCGCGGCCAAATGTTAAGCACTCTTGCTATCACAATGAAGATTAACCACGCCCTACTTCAATCTCATTTCCATGATAAGCATATCCAACCAAATAGTTTCCTTTACCGCTTCTACTGTTGCCACATATTCAGCTTTTGTTGTTGATTGGGCTAAGCATTTCTGCAATGTAGACCTCCAACTAATGTTTCCACCGCCAAGTGTAAATACATATCCAGTTGTAGATCTCCTTTTATCTAGATCCTGTCCTAGACCATCAAACAATAAGGCATAATCCAGAGTACTCTTCAAATATCTCAAAATCCATTTCACTACTTCCTAGTGAACTTTCCCTTGATTTGATCGCAAAAGCAATGTTCGGCCTAGTGCACACCATCAAATACATGAGGCTGCCTACAGCTTGTTCATAGGGAACACATGACATATTTCCTTTCTCCACTGCATCTGTAGGACATTGAGCTGCAAAGAGTTTGAAATGTGGTGCCAAAGGAGTCCATACTCCTTTGGAGTCCATCATGTTGAGCGTACTTGGCTTGACTCAACCATAGTTTCTTCTGCTCCTGATCCATATGTATCTCCATGCCTAATATTCTCTTCGACTCCCCCATATCCTTCATCTTAAATGCAGACTTTAACTTACTCTTGCATTTATCAACATCGGATTGGTTTTCCGCCAATATGAGCATATCGTCAATGTAGAGTATCAAAATGATGAGATTGAGCGTCTCATCATTTACCTTCTTCATGTAGACACAAGGATCATACACGCTCCGTAAAAATTCTTGTGCCTTCATGAACTGATCAAATCGCGTGTTCTATTGCCTATAAGCTTGCTTCAAACCATACCATGATTTCAATCATCTACAAACCAACCTCTCTTTGCCTTTGACCTCAAAACCAACAGGTTGTCTCATGTAGATCTATTACTCTAAATATCCATAGAGAAAAGCTGTAACCACATCCATCTGATCCATAACAAGATCAAATATCGCAGCCATTGCACATACAAGACAAATTGTAGCATACTTAGCTACCAGTGAGAAAACTTCGTTGTAGTCCACGCCCTTCTCTTGGGTGAAACCTCTAGCCACCAACCTAACTTTGAAGATTTTTGCCTCGTCTCCTCTTGGATTGTCTTTCAGCTTGTACACCCACTTGGAGTTAATCAGCATTTGATTGGTAGGAGTCTCAACCATCTCCCAAGTCTTATTGTCAATCAAGGATTTCATCTCCCGCTCCATAGCAGCATTCCACCTAAGCTTGAGCTTCCCTGTATGAAGAAGTTTCACCTTCTTCCAAAATCAACGCTATATCATCCCTATCCTCGATATCAAAGTCACAATCTTCTAGAATGTATGAATTTGCCCACACACCAAACCTTTCAATAGCCCTACTAGCACGATGCAATCTACTAGTAGACGTTTCCGGTTGATCTCTGTTGTCTGAAACTATTGCAATAGGCTCATCAATAATAATTCGTTCAAGTTCCTCATGTTCTTGATGATCCGGTGCTTCTTCTTGTGACAGATCATTAGTGATATGATGATCAAACTCTCCCACAGCGATATCCGTGACTGGAAATTTTCCCTTGTCAGTACGATGAGTCTTAGAATTCTCCTCCTCTTTCAATAAGCCAAGCTCATTGAAAGAAACATCTCGACTGACAATCACCTTACGTGCTAGTGGATCTCATAGCCTATAACCTTTCACTCCACTAGCATATCCAAGAAAACGACATTTCTTGGACGTAGGGTCTAACTTAATTGTGTGCTCCTTTGGTGTTAGAGGATAAGCAGTACAACCAAAACCTTCAAACGGCTGTAATCCACCATCCGTTTATGCTTGAGTTCAAACGGTGTGGAAAATTGAATTGCACTAGAAGAAGAGAGGTTTACGAGATAAACTGCGGTGTTGACGACTTCGGCCTAGAACTCTCCTGGTAAACCAGATTCATCTAGCATACTTCGCACCTTCTCCAACACTGTTCTATTGAGTCTCTCAAAAATAACATTTTGTGGGAGAGTGTAAATTGTTGTGAAGTGACGAGTAATCCCCTCCTCTGTACAATACCTCTGAAACTCCTCTGAAGT